AGGACGGCATTGTACGGCTCCACCACCGTGTCGGAGACCTTGGGCGACGGGATCACGGAGAAGGTCTCCATGATGCGGTCGGGATACCTTGGACTTACAGCTTGCACAGGAAACTTGACTTCAAGAGATTTCTCGAATGTCCGACAAATCCTTGAGGTGGCTGAAAGCGACCGAACAAGCCACGCCCCTCTGAAGCTGTCACTGTGTCTTTGCGGCTGCGATGAATCAGGTAGGTGCAGGAGATCATTGGTTTCCAGTCGATCAAATGCAATCCCAGGAGCTCCTCTCGCACCTGTGGGAGGAAGGCGGGAAAGTCGCAGTCAGGTTTCAAGCTTCTTGGTTTGAGAGAGCTTGTGGGCTTGCGCTTCTTGTGAGCATGCCCCACACGGCAGGCCTACATCTGTGTTTTGATCAGGACCTTCTTCCTTGTTGCTGGTTCTGTCCTGGTTCTCGCTTGCACAGCTCCCACCTTGGAGATGAGCAGAGTTCCCATGCCGGCGCCGGTGCCGCCACCGAGCGAGTGGCAGAGCTGGAAGCCCTGGAGGCAGTCGCAGCCTGCACCAGTCCAAGCGCAGCACAGGAACCAAACCGTGCACGCTTCTGAACTGTTTGTGAGATGGTGCCGAGATGGACTAGCGGCCAGCAGTTCTGGAGCCTATATAGTCAAGGGCGACATCTAGCAGACAACTCTGACGGGCAATACCCTCAACAAAAACTTGATTCGAGAGTTTCCTGGTTTCCGGTGTGACCCGGCTGGGAAGAAACCCCTCCGCCGCCTTCCGCCTCCTTACGCACGACATCCAGCACCGAGTCAATGAGTTCGGCACCCTCAGCTCCCGGCTACTCTCGGATACCATGAGAGCCGAGTTGCATCCAGGGAAGGTTGGACAGGGCAGCTACAACGCTAGAGACTCAGCTCACGGCCTCAGTGTAGTGACCTCGCTCAGACAAGCAAGCGCACGCATGCCGCAGTCCCCATCCCAAAACCAGCCACCGCACCCACCATGAGCAGCAACTCTCGCAACCGGGTGCCCCACCCTTGGCCCAATTGTTGCCAGCTCCTCACGAGACACATGCAGCCCGATGATTCTGCTTTGGGTGGGCTTGTTGGAGCGTGTTTTGTTCTGTCCTGTCTGTCCAAAGACGAAGTTGTCGGGACGGAAGAGCTGTCCAAAAGGCCCGGCTCGGACGGAGTCCATGGTTCCTGTGCCGCGTGAGGCTAGGAGGCGCCGCTTGACCCAAGCACACGCAAGGACGCATGACATGCCTGGCTCAAGATCCATCAGGACCGCACGGGGAACGTAGCGGCCCCCGGTCGCCTCGTTGAAGTACACCTGAGCTGCCCGCTGAGCTTGACTGTTTCGGCGGAAACGACTCAGAAAAGGCTGGAAGCGCCTCGCACAGACACCTGCGGTCAGGACACGTTGATGCGCTCCAGCTGCAGATCCGAATCTCCATGATAGGTTCCTGTGCGCAACATTTATCTATCTATATATATATATATATATACATATATTAATATATATATATATATATATATATTCAGCATTCTATATGTATCACTTCCCAGCTTCGGCTTAATGACGCCCCGCGCAAGCTGCACCTCTCTCACAGCACTTGAACTCAGAAGCCCTGGGAGTAACCTTACGTGTCACTGCCTCGGCGATGCTGAGGCTGGTGACATGACTATCTCCGAAGGTTGTTGTTGGTTCAATTGGAAGGTTTGGGCTCGCAGCGCTGCTTTGGGAGGGCTGCTGTCGTCTCGGCAGCGAAGCCATGAGAACAAACTGATGCGGGCAGGCTGGGGTGTTTGTTCTCTTCCCACCTGTGGGATCGATTCCGTGCTCGTCGGCGATCACCTGCACAGCACGGATTCAACAAGACCCCGTCAAGATCTCTGTGATGTTGGGTGGAGCTGCAGGAACTTAGCTACAACATTCCTCCAGTCCATTGAATCTGCAAGAAGCCGGCAACGCTGTGCACCTCCCAGAACTTGGCACCGATCTGGTTGCCACCTCAAAAACGTGCTTTGGAAATAGCGGGGCCCTCCCAAATCCTTCTGCATTCGTTGCGGAGAGTCTGAAACATGCACCCAGGAGGTTGAATGCAAAACACAACTGTAGGAACTCTCAACCTCAAGCCCGGAACATCCTCCGGCTTCTGGGGTTTGACGTGAGTTCTTGCCCGAGGTGCACTGGCCACCCTGGACGTGCACTAGCTCACGCATGGCTGCGAGAAACGGGAGGCGATGAACGCAAGGAGGTCGCTCGAGACTTCTCAGACACGCTGACGCTGCGGTCCATGCTCTGCATCACATCCAAGCTCCAGTGACTAGAATCTCTCACTGTCATGTCGCGTGTAAAGAAGTCCGTTTTTCGCCTGCTGCCCCGCAAACTGCGAAACTTGCTGTGACTTCCATGCTCGACCTGCCTTCAGGATTTTCCTGAAAGCGAGCCAGGAATGAATTCCAGCGGCTGCATCCACTTGCCACAAGTGGCACAGCCGAGGTCATCATCGGTCTGAACAGGTTGGCGGAACGAGCATGGGTCGGCGACACCTTGCGCTTATCCATCATACTCGCCCTCCTCCTCGTCAAACTCACCTGTGAGGTCAGGCCACTCTCCACCCAAATTAACAGAGACTCAAGGATGCGCGTGACGGTCTAGCATCTGCTCGTTGTGTCCGAAGTCGGCAGTTTCCCCATGTCACAAAACCCGGCGAACTTCGGAGCCTTGTGTACATGCCCCGGCGGACATCTGAAAACCTATGTCCTCGGAACCAGTGCTACTTCAGCTCGCCCACCTTCCTCCTCCGCGGTGGCATCCTGGCCGAAGCAAGGTTGCATTTTTTGAGAAGTCCGGTGGAATCATCCGTGCCCGAAAGAAGGCTTTCTGTTTACCCACGTGGCATACTGAAACTAAGTTCTTGAGCGTAGAAGCAAAGCCGTGCAAAGCCAATGCAACTGGAAAGCATGTGTAGAACCCATCACATCACGGATTTCGAGATATTTTGAGTCTGCAATTCTTCCTGACCGCGCCTGATACTGCTGATACTCGGACACCAGGTCGTTCATGTTCGACTCCGCCTCAGTGAACTCCATCTCGTCCATGCCTGCCGGTCCCCGACATCAGTGAAGTCTAAGGGTTTCGGTTCAATTCCCCGGCTCCAATCCAAATCCTTGCCTTAAATCCAGGTGATGCAGTGTGTCAGCTTTTCTTCGTGCTGCTTCGCGATAAGATCAGAGTGATGCTCCATGCTGGATCCCTCGTTGGCAGCCCTTGAGACTCAATGCAGGTGGTTTCGTTCAGCCTCAGGTAACTACCACTAGGCTGCATTTTCCACGGACTGCACAGAGGTACACTGGTCGAATCTTGATTGTTTGGTCTTCACCACTGCGAGGATCCACAATTAAAAACCACCCATCCAGCATCACCAAGCAAGTATCTACCTCCCATCTTGTCCTCGCACGAACTCCACTAGATTTAGGCTTGTTGGGATTTTTATGTTGCCACTTCTGCTTGCACCTTACCGCACACATGACCGCATCCGAGAGCCTTCGCCAGTGTACCAGTGCAGGAAGGCCTTGCGCCGGAACATGGCCGTGAAGTACTCGGCCACCCTGTCCGGAAGATGCTTGCGCAACAAGAGGCAAGGCGGGGCTCGTGTGAGATAGCCTTGCAAGGCCATCTAAGACCTAAGACTTGCTTCGGGGTTTGCTTTCGGATCCGGCCGAGCACAGGGAGAGCACCTTCCTGAACCAGGACACCGGCACGGGCTGCTCTGAAAGCTTCGCGAAGCCGAAAACTTTGCCCCAAAATCCTATGAGATGCGCAAGGCCGGGCCTCTTGAACATCTCCTGGATGGCCGTCGAGTTTCCCGCAAAGGCGACAGCCATCTTGAGACCTGCAGCTGCCGAAAGGTGGCAGGCAGCCAAATCCAAATGCAAGTAGGGCATACACTGACCAACAAGCCTGAAAAGCTTCTTCCTGGAATTTCCGCCGTTCGGCGACAAAAACCACAGACAGCTGGCAATTTGTGAGTGGCAAGCTTTCATCAATGAGCTGTTGAGCGAAGTCTGGCAATTGCTTGCTCTGTCAACGTCATGCTTAGTATCTATTACTGCTTCTTCGGTGTCAGAAGACCTTCGAGAGTGCGACAGTACGTTTTGACACCGATGGAAGCAGCACAGTGAGAATCTATGCACTAGATGAGAGTTCCACTCTTCAAAGTTCGATGACGGGCTCGGAAAGGAGCTGGCAATATTGAAGTTGAACAGCTCTTCTCAAGATTCCGTCTCAATGCTGTTTCGAAGGAGCCGTGCTGCAACTTGAAAGCCCCAAATCCGGAGCATCAAAACAGCGATAGATGTCGCAGCGCTCTTCGAATCGCTGCCCAGCAGCCTTTTGGAGGGATATCGCAGACGGAGGCCTTGATGTTGTTGGGGATCCACTCCTCAGAGTGCGGCAGAGGGTTTGTGGAGGCCCGGGGCTTGCGGACTCGAGCCAGAGAGAGGAGCCACTTCGCCCTAAACCCTAAACCCTAAACCCTAAACCCTGAACCCTAAACCCTAAAGTAGGCTATGCAAAGCAGCGCAGCATGACAGCCCGGTCAGAAGCCTCCGAACCACGGTGCCCGTGACATGAGGACAGCCGAGGCTCCACGAAATAGGAGGAGTTCTTGTTTTGGACGTTCAGCATCTGCTCATCCACCTGCGGGCATGTTCGTAGGGCAAGGGTTTAGGGTTTAGGGTTTAGGGTTCAAGATGATGCTGTCTCCACCGCACCATCTCCCTTGCTGCAGTAGCCGGGAGCTGGACGGCACCGTCTTCACTGCACGGGAGTTGAACACTTGAATAGAGAAGATAGTCTTCCGAGGCAACACAGATGCAAAAACCAACTCGCGAAAGCGAGACAAAGGCACCACTACACAGTGTCTGGTACTCCAGGAAATTGAAACCGGCAAATCTTAGAACAGCTGCGGCGCGCTTCCGACCGGAAACCATGCTGGTTGCTTCTGGTCGCCTCCTTCGTGGACATGCGGCCACGGAAGAGGGCTGCCGCGGTGAGGTAGCGGCCGTGGCGGGGGTCCGCAGCGCACATCCTGGGGCGTCCGACACTTGACGGGCTCACGGACTGGTAGCTGTTAGGCAGCTGTCAGAGGAGGTTGAGCCGAGAAGCATGTTCTTGGCGTCGAACATTTGCTGGGTCAGCTCGGGCACCTGTCACTACAAAGCTCCGGATACGTTGCCATTGCATCCACGTCGGAAATCAAGGACCACCCTCCGAGTCGGGGACGGTCAGGGCTCGGTACTGCTGCGACCCGCGGGAGGTCAGCGGCGCGAAGCCCGTCATGAAGAAGTGCAAGCCTGTCCGGGTGCAAGGCCTTTTGGATCCTTTTGGGGTCCGAATACAGAGTTGAGAACTGGGATTTGCGGAGCTTCTTCCGGGACCATGTACAAAGCAACCAACATTCATACTCATCCGCATTCCAAGCCACGTGGGAAAGGCACCAGGTTCACAGCGATCTTGCGCAGGTCGCAGTTCAGCCTCATCACATGGGAATGCACGCAACAAGCCAAATACCAGGATAGTCAGAGAAAAAACATGGATGGGCCCAGCCACTGTCCCGGGAAGCGCAAGCAGCAGGTCACGCCGCTCATGGCCGCAGAGACCAAGTGGTTCAGGTCGCCGTACGTTGGCGTCGTCAGTTTCCTGGGCAGCTCGTCACGAAGACTGACTACAAAGCCAAGGTGAACGCCGGACTACTCATTGATGTCAGTTGGGGGGTGGTCAGACGGGCACCATCTTAACTCTTGAACTACACGGATGCCCGGGCACTACAAAATTTGTACGAGACTGTGAGTGCCTTTTGAATCGAATGCCGGCCGAAATCTTCAACTACAATTCGAAATAAAGTGCTATTGAGTCCATACATTGATACCCCGCAAAACAGATGATAAACATGAAACATGAGTCCATACATTGATATCCCGCAGAACAAATGATAAACATGAAACAAACAAGTCCTCACATCGCTGGGTTTTTAAAGACCTCGTTCGTTCTGTGAAAGCTCGATGCCACGGGTCCAAGCCTGCACTAGACTTGTTAGGTTTCATGTCAATGAACAAAGCTCCGGGTTCCCGATATTTGAGATCTAGGGCAGGTGTCGATGTCATGCGTCGGGGTCACAGGGTTCAGGGCCAACTTTATGCCTGGGCACAGCGTTCGGAAGCAAATGTCGTAGAGTGCTTCGTTGTCCTTAGCACAAACTGGAAATTGCACGGTCTGCATAAGCTGGATTAAAAGCATGAAGACACTGCGCGCCCTTGAAAAGCAGTCTTATTCACATTGCCCGGCGGCCAGCAGGAAGGACTCGTCGGAGTTTTCCACCAGCTGGTGAAAGCTCAGGACGGCATTGTACGGCTCCACCACCGTGTCGGAGACCTTGGGCGACGGGATCACCGAGAAGGTCTCCATGATGCGGTCCGGGTACCTTGGACGCATGTTTCGCGATGTGGTCCCCGAACTCTTTGTTTCAACATTGGAACGACCCAAAAGAAATTAAAGTGAAATCAACTTGTTGTACAATGTCGTTGGTACTGCTCTTGTCGCTTCTGTCGTCCAGATGGCATGACCATTGAAAGTTTGAAGGCCTCAAAAGTCCAAGTCCAGTCCTCGTCAACCCCGGAAGCCACAAGCCAGGCAAACCCTGTAATCGAAAATGCACGATTGTTGAAGAACGAGACTGTTTAAAGCTTCCTGCAAAGCTGGGGCGCGCCGCACTTTTTCTGGGCTCGCTGCGGTGCGTGTCCGGTCCTTGAGCCTGACGTCGACGTGAGTTATGGCATTGGTGTAGATGACAGTGCTGGCATCTCCACTTTGGCCCAGGGGTCAATAATCCAAAGGCAGCCTCGTAAAGGCAGAAATATGATCCACTACGTCTCATCTCATCTCATGGAGATGAGGGCAAGCTCGTCAGCGGAACGAGCGCAAATATGCAATAGAGACCATTTTGGTTTCTAAACAAACACGTGACAGTAAAAAGAAGGATGTGGCGAGAAATTACCAGCACACCGATCCTTGAAAACAAGCTGTGAGTGAACTGCACGCAACCTTGCCGTAGAGGGTTAGCGGCAGGAGCGGCTGGAGCAAAAGCTCGGGCCTTGCGGGGATTGCAAAGCGGGTTAGGGTGCACTATAACCTAGACGTCTTCGGCAACTAGCCGGCC